AAAAGAGAGAGAGAGAGAGAGAGAAGATAAAAAGATGTAGGTTTTAAACTTTAGGGTTTCAAAAATGCCTAAAGGAAGAATTAAAAGGTTTCTCATTGTTTAGATTTTATTTGTTATCCCCCAAGCTATATTACACGGACTCTTCAAAATATATCAAACACCCGTGTCGGACACTTGACACTTAGACAAGGGTATGAGATATGTGTTGGATACTTTTCAACGGACACTACTTATATAATTGTATATAACAACACTATTATTGTATGTACATATTGTTGTATAATTGCTAGGAATGTCTTTTTAACACTGTAAGTTACATATAACACCATTTTATCTCACATACTTAATTAAAAATATAAAAATATGATATTTTTTTGCCGAATTCGCGTAACCTTAAATTTATGATTTGACGAGTCCGACCTCTAGATATATACCCGCACCCAACACCCGTACTCAAGTTCATGTAACATAGCCCCCAAGTTATTTTCTTAAAACTTGTGTCAATCCCCCAATGTGTTTAATGCGTGTCTATGCTATAGACACTCGTATCCTCCAAGTGTTTCAAAATATGTCTAGCTTTTTTAAAAATATTAAAAATGTTGAGACACATCTAGAAAAGTGTTCAACATGTGTCAGGGATAATGACACAGCACAGTCATAGATGTGCAACCATCCTTGCTTCTTAGCATAGTACCTAATTTTATGACTTGTTTTTGGAACTTAGCAACTTCACATTGTATTCCACTGAAAGGTCCAAAAATACAATTTTGTATAAACAGGAAATCCTATATGTTGACAATATTGAATTACCATTCATGAACAAATAACTAGTTCATCCTGCCAATTAGAGCATAACTTCAATTCTCAAGAAACAATAAATACTTCTGCACAATGTGTGTAGCAAAGCCAGATCAATCACAAACATACCTCTTCAAATGGAACAAAAACGAAAGGTGTTAGACCCCTCCTGTGAGAAACAGCCGGCACATCTGGGTTGTGTGTTTCGTCCTCCTCCCAGCCTTCAACAACTCCAAGAATGTCTTCATCATGGCTCGAAACCTCACCATCATTCACACCACTTGTAACAAGCGAAACCAAATCCATCCGATTGTTAGCCCCTGCTATTGTTCCCCTCAACCTGTTTACAGAAGCAAATGAGCTGAGCACAGCTCATTGCTCACTATATAGGAACCCAAAGATGTAACTTACAAATCCCAGTTAGCAATAATTTTCCCTTTGACATTTTTCACAATAACGATTATAATTTTTCCTATGAGCATTGTCATATATTGAAGGGAAAAAAAAGTGTCAGCTTGTTGGCTTTAGTAGAAAAATCATTTCCTACTTGTCTACGCAACCTGTGTTGTGCCAAGGGAACAGGAGACGAGGGAGGAAGGGAGAGGGAAGATGTGTGGGAGAGGGCAGAACCGTAATTTTTGGACAACCTCAAAATCTTTCACATCTGATAGTCTGATTTAAAATGTCGTTTCCAATCGAATTACCAAATTTCAAGGGATTATGAGCTCGTTCAAAAATTATGTTTCTGCTCTAACCTGACCAATGAATATGTACTATACCTATACAAAAATACAAACTCTGATGTTTGATTGAGTACTTGGGGGCACTCTCTTCATTTCAAAAATGCTCAAGTTTAAGGGCAACAGCCCATCCATCTAAAGAATACAATCAATGAGAAAGGTTTCAATTTTTCCAAAGGAACATAAAATGAAGCTAACTTTTGGCAATAATAAATTTTGGTGAATATATTAAAAAAGGAGGCAGATAATTGCACCCGTTATCCCCCCCCTTAGCAATAATTTTCCCTTTGACATTTTTCACAATAACGATTATAATTTTTCCTATGAGCATTGTCATATATTGAAGGGAAAAAAAAGTGTCAGCTTGTTGGCTTTAGTAGAAAAATCATTTCCTACTTGTCTACGCAACCTGTGTTGTGCCAAGGGAACAGGAGACGAGGGAGGAAGGGAGAGGGAAGATGTGTGGGAGAGGGCAGAACCATAATTTTTGGACAACCTCAAAATCTTTCACATCTGATAGTCTGATTTAAAATGTCGTTTCCAATCAAATTACCAAATTTCAAGGGATTATGAGCTCGTTCAAAAATTATGTTTCTGCTCTAACCTGACCAATGAATATGTACTATACCTATTCAAAAATACAAACTCTGATGTTTGATTGAGTACTTGGGGGCACTCTCTTCATTTCAAAAATGCTCAAGTTTAAGGGCAACAGCCCATCCATCTAAAGAATACAATCAATGAGAAAGGTTTCAATTTTTCCAAAGGAACATAAAATGAAGCTAACTTTTGGCAATAATAAATTTTAGTGAATATATTAAAAAAGGAGGCAGATAATTGCACCCGTTATCCCCCCCACCCAAAAATAAAATAATAATAAAAAAAAATTGGCCCACTAGCATTCACCACAAGTATTAAGAAGATTTTAGTTTCTACAACTTTTATCTCTTTAGCTTGAGTAACGAAGGCAGTAATTACTTGTTACTGAGAGAGAGAGAGAGAGAGAGAGAGAGAGTTCTTTAAATGAATGAACCAACCCATCTAAAATACCTTAAACGGATCCTCCATGCAGTGGGACGCAAGCCTGGGTACAAGAAGGCAGCTTCAACCTGCAAATGTAAGGGCGGCTTTTAATTGAAACACAGTTTTGTAGGACACGGAAATGCTTGTTGAACAAAAAGTGTTGTTTGAATTCTCAAATTTGATGAAATACCATGAAACATGAAGGAAAACATATCTTGTATAATGGGATAAGAAGAATTGAAGATTTGGCAAGTGATAGAACCTGACCTTGTCATCAGACAATGTGTAATTGCCAGAATGAACACAGTCAATTTTAGATGCACGGAAGTTCATGCACCTTGCAACGTCCTTCACTTTTTGTGACGAATTCTAATAATTACAGACCAACCACGAATATTTTAGTGACTAGTATAGCAGCAAAACATGTCTCTTTGTTACTAGTATTGTATGCAGTAACCCAGTTGAGAAAATAACCTTATAAAGAAACCTCCCAGAAGGATAAAATCTCAAATAACGAAAATAACAAACCTGCAATATAAGAAAATAAATTTAGAATAGTACTGAAAATGAGAACTGGAATATAGATTCACCAGCCAATGCCAAAATCTTCATGGGACTACTACACTTTTTTGAATGAAATGGAAACTTCAGATGAATTTACATGCCATGCTATAATAGAAACAAAATAGAAACATACCACATGGACTGGATTGGTAATTTTCCATTCAGCAACTCCAGCACGAATGTAGGTGTTTCTGCTGACGTAAAGCCCTGATTCATAAAAAAACAAAACTTCAGCACTAAGAAAATTCTGGGAAATTAAGAAAACTGAAATTAAATAGTTGGGAACAAAAAGTCTGGATTTGGCATAAAGATATGTATGTACTAGTGAGGCACCAACTTTTTGCATTTCATTTCTCAATGAGAGTATACCCAAGTATGCCTTTTAGACATTGTTTCAGGCACCAAAACTAGTATCAAAGAAATTTTCTTTCAACTTCCAAGGTACATATTGATCATATAATGCTCCTGAAGAACTCTCCACTTAAGAGATATTGCTTCCAATTCTACAAGCAACATCCTCTCTAATCTCTACCTCCAAATGAATAATACAAGGCTCCTGGTTACAAAAGGATCTGGAAGAGACAGTAGGTAGTCTGATTCTCATTACTCAAATCCACATTATAACGTTGGGGACAAATAGGACTAGTCATCACGCCAAGTCACATCCTCTATGAATAACCAAACCTATGAGACAAAAATGATCACCTGCCTCCTAATTTTCACCATCCTACTTTTTCCCTAGTCTTTCAAAGATTATATTTGGCGTTACATATCTATTCTAGTCCAATTTATCTCAAAGCCTCTTGAAGATAGAGCATCCCTCCAAAGTTTTATTTATAGTAAAGTTTGATTAATAGCATTTAGTGTTACCATACTTAAGTAAAATAATATCAAATTTGAATAGCATTAATTAACAACCTCAAATATGTTTGGTTGGTTTGGTGCTCTTATGCATAAAACTGACAGATTCAGTTTGATGGGAATTTTACCCTGTACCCCGACCATACCAAACCGATTATACCCCTATAAATATTAGTTTTCTCTCCATGCAATACTTTACTTGAACACTAAGAAGTTACTATGAATTCTCAATGTTCCTTCTTCCTTAGTCCCATCACCACCACCACCACCACCACCACCACCAACCTCACCCCCAGGCCAGGCAGGCAACCATTACCCAAACAATTTGTCCCCCTCTTCATAATTCTTGATTCTGTATATGACTATTTCTTTGCTTCTTCAAAGTATTTATCATTAAGAGACTGTTCGAGAGTACTTCACTTTGTTTGGGTATAACTTTTTTGACCTCAAAAAGGTTATGTAATCTACTCTATTTTTAGTTAAAATGTGGCCATATAGAGGACAGTGTCCTTAAACATCTTTCATATCATGCAAGTACAGGTGGCAAATGGACAGGTTTGGCAGATTTGAGCAGGGTCAAAACGGGTTATGCATTAAAGCAATCCAACCCAAACCCACCCCCCCACCCCACCCAACCCATTTAATAAATCGTTTAAAGGTGGTTGGGTTGAAGTGGGTATGGGTTAGACAAATCAACCCGACCAGCTCGTTTACTTTATTAAAGTCTTTGTCCAATGGATGGTGGGTTCCTTGCTTTGTTGCTGCTGTCTTTTACCCAAACCCAAAAGGGTACCTATGTCCAACCCATTTAAATGGGTTCACTAGATGCAACTCATTTACAACACATTTATGGATTTGAACAGGTTTAAACAGGTTTCAAACAGATAAAACTGGGTGGGTTCACGGTTTTGGGTTAAGTTTGTCAACTCTAGGCAAGGATACTATTCACTATGTTTGGTTCCATTTTTTAAAATTGTTTTTCCAAAAAGTGATTTGAAAACTCTATTTTGAAAAAGGATCTTTGTTTGGTTTTCAAAAAAATGCATTATTGCAAATTCAAGTTTCCCTCCAATTTAAGGAGAGATAATGTTTTTAAAAAAAATGTCACATCAAAAAAATACTCCCATGCTAGTTTTATATACGTATCCATTTATGGGTACACATCCTACCATTAAATGTGTGACTTTATCATAAAATTTTTACTCATTTCAACCACAGACAACGTAATTCTTTTACAAATTGGCAATAAAAAAAAAATCGTAACCAACTTACAAACTTTTGCAATATCAAATACAAAAAATTTGGACATTTTCTTATGCCAATTTCTAACGATGTTACACATGTTTGTATTAATGTAATGATATTTTGTGATAAAATAAATTGTCTGTATAACATTTATGAAAATTTAATTCTATGTAAGAAGTATTTTAATGCCAATTTGTAAAAAAATTAAGTTTTTTATGGTTGAAATGAGTGAAAATTTTATGATAAAGTCACACATTTAATGGTAGGATATGTACCCCTAAATGAATATATACCAAATTATGTTTTCATACATATAAATGAATTTGCAAAAATGCATTTTTTTGAAAACCAAACAAAGATACTTTTTCAAAATAGAGTTTTCAAATCACTTTTTGGAAAAATAATTCAAAAAAATGGAACTAAACCTTAGTTGCAGGATTCGTTCAACCAGGTGACGAATCTTCGTAAGAAGCGCGATTCCGCGTTTCTTAGAAAAAACGTGTAAGAATTGCGTTTCTGTAGAGAGAGAAACGCGATCCTGTCCAAGATGGAATCATTGGTGGAAAAGAAAAGCAAAACAGAGAGATACACCCTAACTCGCTAAATATGCAGAGAGAAACCCTAACTCGAATACAGAGAGATAAAAAACCTAACTAATTGAATATATATATAGAGAGAGAGAGAGAGATAGACAGAGAGAGAGAAATAGAAAGAGAAAGGGTGAAGAAGAACCTGTTGAAGCCCTAATCTGTTATTCTTCTTCGTTCTTTATTTTTCTTCTTCTTCTGTTCATCTCTCTCCATGAGTCAGCGCGATCGTCTCTCTCTCGCTTTCGACTTTGTCTCTCGCTTGTGTTGAACTCATCAACTCTGCACGATGGTCTGTCTCTCTTCTTTCTGAGCAATCGTCTCTCTCTCTCTCTCTCTTCTCTTCTCTCCTCTGTTCTATTCGTTTGATGTCCCTAATTCCTTATTATATATATATTAACAAAAAAAACCCCTTTTTTTTTCCTTTCATCTTTTTCTTTTTTTTTTTCTATTTTTTTTTAATATTCTTATTTTTTCAACTTAAACATACATAAAATAAATTTTTTTTTTGTAAGAAAAAATTAATTTGTAAATAAAATTTGATATTCAAGTAAATGAATAAAATTTAAAAATAAATAAATAAATAATATATATTTTTAAATTTTACATATAATAAATAAGGTTATATATTGTCAAGTCTTTTTATTTGATTAGATGATTAAGAATTAATGATATTTTGTATTAGTGATGAATTTTCTAATGGGATTCTATTATATTTTTGTGTAGCAATGTAAGTCATCAAATTTAATATATTTAAATAAAGCCACTCCAAAATTTTTGAATTAATTTTATTTATATATGCATAATATACACACACATATATATATATATATATCTAGGCGCTCCCCGTTCTATCGGCTCATGCTCCCCCGCTCCCGCTCCCGCCTCCACTCACGCTTTGTGCAACTAACTAAACATAGTGATTAGCATCATGATACCTTGAAGCTAAAAACTTCAGTTCAATTAACCTCTAAAAACTAATCATTTATAAATTTCAAAAATAGAAACTAAACTATACTCAAGATATGATGTCATCACATACTTTCAATTGCATTTAAAAATTGTTTACCAAATAGTATAGAGAACTTAAAGAGGATAGGGAAAAAAATTTGAAACATGGAAATGATTCCATAGGCAATTCCAGTATAAGCCCATAGACTTTCCAGGTGTACACACCAGGTCCTTTTCCATTATACAAATTCAACATATGGATCCAAAGGATTATGACCTGGAACTATCCTCATTGAAAAACAGAAGAAATACAGTAGAATATTTTTTGTTAAAAGAAAAAGACTAACTAAAAAATTAAAAGAAATACTACATAGTTTTCCTAAAAGCATATATAATAAGACAAGAAGTTTCAAGGGAAGGAAATCAGGGTTCAAAAAAAAGGGAAGGAAATCACAGCAGCATGGAAGCATATTAAAAAGAACATAAACACATACATACATTGAGTTACAGGTAAATAAAGTGGAAACATGTATCAAACCAAACCTCAACACTAGAAAGTTAGTATGCAGATACATCTTACCATCAGTACGGACCCTTGGTCTTAAAAGCCACATTTTCCTCCATGAACCATCATATTTTGACTGTAAAATCTTGTAATTTTCCACCACTCCAGAGATCTTCATAAGAAAAAGACAGGGTTAGGCTTTGAGACTTTACAAACACTGATGCACGTCTAATGAGATATCCTAATGGATATTGGATCTACCTGCCAAGCCTTCAAGCATGCAATGCGCCAATACACAGGGTTACGGATCGTATATCTCCATTTTCGACATACACAAGCTGCCCTCCCCAAGTTATATGGAGTCATTTTTGCAAATATCTGCACATGAATAATCGTGACAAATTAATAAAACTTCCTGATTTATATACAAGATAAGCCAATTAAAAACTCCAAAGTAGAAGCTTCTTTATCACTTAGTTAAATTAGTGTAATCCATTAGACTGTAACCTAAATGTTAAGCTAAAACGATCACAACATGAAGCGTTGATTATGACCCAAAAAACAAAAGTATTCCTCAAAAACCAACTTTTTTTGGGTGGGTACTGAAAGACCAACTTAGAGAACTAGACAATATTTAAATAAAGTCAATGCCCCTATGGTCTTTGTAGTTTCAACAAGAACTAGTGCTGCCATGAGCTGCTAATATCCTATCCATATGCTATACAAAAGTGGATAAATGCATATGTTGACCTAAAGCTACTTTGTACAGATAGGAGTGTATTAGAGTCAGACAAAAGCACCAGGCATTGAAATTTACAAAATTAACGATATGGCTCAGATTCTCCTTTATTTTTATACTTTAAATAAATAAAGCCACCAAGGCAAATGTCTCTTAATCTTGAACGCCTCATTTTTTTCTCCATATTTCAAAATCAAATTTCAAAAAAAAAAAAAAAACCATAATTTCAGGAGTTGAAATCCCTCAATAATAGACCAAAAGGATCATGACATCAGTTTCCAAATATACAGGACCTGAATCCTTTTTCAGCCATCAAGCTCTACCTACAACAACTTTGATTAAGCAATGACCTTCATCTTATTTAGGGTTTACAGCTCCTTATTCTACAGCCATCACCATGTTCCCACATAATTTTAAAATCCTATGTAATGCTGATTTGGCAAAAGAATCTCGAGAATGTAAAGGTATAATGTAATATTTACAAATTAAAAAAGGTCGATGCAAAGAAACTGCAAAAAACACAAGATGAAAAACTGCATAGAATTTTCTTAAAATAATTAAGACTCAACTACTTCCAAACCTATGTTAACTGGAATGTGGATCATTTCGGTACGTGAAACGGGAACGTGAAACGCCACATGTTCTAAAATGTGATACGATAGGGGTAGACTTGTATGTATTACACTTAAGAATTTAAGTACTTCTAGAGTAATTTTCTTTTAACTATTAGACATCCAATAATATATATTTTTCATTTTTGAAGTTTTTGTCTTGTCAAAACTTAAAGTCACCTTAGATTTTAATTCATTATATTTGATTTTTTTCCTCCTAAGGTAACATTTAAGGATATATATTAGAAAAAACTTTAGGGATTGCTACAGATCATTAAATTTACCATTTTGGAACGAAAATGTACCATATTTTGAAACGTGCATACCAATATGCAATTCGCTACTCAAAACTAAACAGCCTCGCAACTTGGACACTAATGAAATGTAAATTACAAAAATTACTTACAAAAATGCAACTTCCCCTTCGATCCTTTTAAACTTGAGATGAGGACTTAATTATTAAACGACTGATTTGTGTTCAATAGGATAAGTAAGTACACTAAGTTAGTTCAAAATTAAGTTAAGCAACTTCGCTTAATCTTACTCTATCCAAAGGGCTACTGGAGGTTTGTCCGGTTGTTAACTTCGCTTAAGTTAAGGAGCTTGTCCACTTATTGTCCCTCTATGTGATTGGTGTAAATTAATCTAGTTCCATCAGTCCAATATTTCCTTTGTATATCCTTACTGTAAATAATCTTTACTTTTCATGCAGTTCACTTAATCTTACAATAAATTAGAACTCAGCCAGCTCATTTTGAACTGGTAACTTAGTTCCTTTAATTCCCTTCTCCCACTCTATCCAAAAATACTTGGTTGAATTATTATGTTATGTTCTTCAAGGAAAAGAAAAAAACAAAGACGAAGGGCTCTTCCTTGCATTCACCAATTGCCTAAATGAAGCACTAAGTTCAAGGTCCATGAACAAACTCAAGGGAATTGGTGCTCTCAGAACGTAACCAATTCATTCTCACACCCTTGCCACAAAATTGTCCACACACACATATTGACATAGAGCTCCAAATTTCTAATTGTGTCTACCCCCATTGTACCAAGTAAATACCTTAAGTTTCCAATTCCATTCTACATCAAAAAGTGAACCACTTGGAAAACTAATTTTGTATCTCAAGTTGGGAAATGGCCACTAATAAATGACAGTGCTTACCAAATGTTTAGCAAATTTGAATTAGAAGGAACTATGCAACTACTAGGCCGTAGAAAATACAGCTTTCCATACATACATACATACGTCCACATATTCATATATTAACATATATATAAGCAAAATGAAAAATACAAATCAAAAGCAGTAATTCTAGTGGTATTGAGCTTAATTGTTAATTATGCACATTTTTCTGAAGATAAAATGCAGAAATATTACATTTAAGAAACAAAATTCACCATAGGAATGAAAAGCAACTCCATCACAGCAATTTTTTCTCTTTGTGAAAAATCATTAAGACAAAATTTAACTGGTCAAACGTTTAGAAAAGATGCACCTCCGAAAGTAGCTCATCCGGCAAGGATCGATGTATAAGTGCTGGATCAACAAATGGTTTACTGCTTGCACTCCCAAAAGGAGGGACTGGTCTTACATGAACTCCATAAAGATCTGGGATTTAAAAGATAATGAAAATTCAAAACTATTTACTTTCTCAAAGAATAACTAAGCCTATAACAAAGAAAATCCTCATTGCATCAGCTAAATGAGAACGTAAAAAAGGGGGCCTGGTATAGAAACTTTACCAAGCCATGGCCTTTGTGTTACAAAGAACTGTGCAGTCCTCAGCCGCGAAGCTGCTTCAAGCTCCGCTGGAATTTTCAAAGCAAAATCTGAAACAATCATAAACATTGATTCAGTATGAATTAAATTAACACATACCACATAAAAAAAAAAAAAAAAAAAAAACGCCAAACATTAAAAGGAAAAAAAAAACACTATAGAATTGAATGAATTTGACTTTCGGAAAATATAAAAACCCAGATTAAATTACAGTAAATATTGACCATTTGGTCAGTGCCCAGATGGTACAATCCAAAGAATCGATCAAATTCGTGAACATAATAAAAGGAAAATCTTAATTTCGAGAAATATTTGCATTGAAACAGAGGTGCATTTGAAGGGAATCAAAGTAATTGTAGGAACTAGAAAACCTACCTGAAGTCATGAGGATATCGCGATGGTGGTTCTTCCTCAGAGAAGAACTGGCGCGAATCTTCGTTTCTCGAACATTTTCCTGGGACAAATTAGGGAAATAGAAACGCAAGGGAGGAAAATCGGAAAACTAACCGAAGACCGACTCACTGACTCGGATCAATAAACTGATGAGGGCCCCCACTTCGGGCAATTATGTGGTTGGAGAGAGAAGTTAATTAGGTGATTTTGGCAATAATTATATAATTTATAAATTTTATAAAAAAAAATATTCATTACTATGACTCTTTATCATAAAATAAAATTTTAAATAAAAACCAAAAATTGTTTGGTAGCTCAAAATTGGAGAGACTCGAATGCCTTGAGTACCAAAATGATGTCGTTTTGGCACAATTTTTTTTCCTTTCCCTTTACGTTGAATCTGGTTTGAGAGAAATAGTGAAGTGAGAGAGGTGAGAGAAAGAGAGAAGGAAGAAGAGAGGAGAAGACAACAAAGAGAGAGGGCCATGGACAAAGATCACCACAACCTGACCCGCCACCATGGACAATGATTGCGAACCACTCAAACCACCACAACCCAACCCACCGCCATGAACGGAGAGGGCAAAGCTAGATCTTGATTTTGGGTTTGGTAATTTTGATTATGTGGGTTGATTTTGAGTTTGGTTTGATTTTGATTATGTGGGCTTGGTTCTGATTTTGGGTTTTGATTTTTTTTAATGTTGATTATGTAGGTTTGGTTTTGATTTTGGGATTGATTTTGGATTTGGATTTTGATTTTGGGTTTGGTTGGGATTCAGAGAATGATAAAGTTTTGATGAGGTATTTGTAGAATATGAGATTTGAGATGGGAGTTGATGTTGTAGTGGTGGAGTGAGTCTGAAGAAGAAGAAGAAAAAAAGAAACAAAGGAAGGAGAGAGAGAGAGAGAGAGAGAGAGAGAGAGAGAGAAACCGTTACGTAACGGCGTTATGTAACGGTTGCGGCCGCTTTTTAAAACCTTGACCACAACCCAACCCACCGCCATGAACGGAGAGGGCAAAACTAGATCTTGATTTTGGGTTTGGTAATTTTGATTATGTGGGTTGATTTTGGGTTTGGTTTGATTTTGATTATGTGGGTTTGGTTTTGATTTTGGGTTTTGATTTTTTTTTTAATGTTGATTATGTAGGTTTGGTTTTGATTTTGGGATTGATTTTGGATTTGGATTTTGATTTTGGGTTTGGTTGGGATTCAGAGAATGAGAAAGTTTTGATGAGGTATTTGTAGAATATGGGATTTTTGATGGGAGTTGATGTTGTAGTGGTGGAGTGAGTCTGAAGAAGAAAAAGAAAAAAAGAAACAAAGGAAGGAGAGAGAGAGAGAGAGAGAGAGAGAGAGAGAGAGGGGAAAAGTGTGGAAATTAAGCACAATAGAAGAGTGAGTTCTCGAGCCTCGACTATTTCGAGCTGCCTAGTGGGATAGATAAAAATCATACATATAGCACAAGTAAAAAACTAGATAGAAGTAAACGAAGAGGTGCTTTGCAATATAGAGAAAACTTGTATAATTTTTTATTCAATAATTTTTTATTTTATTTTATTTTATCAAACTTAGTCTTTATTGAAAAATATAATGTTGATTTACAACTTTATATTCAGTCAAGTTATTCGATAGTTTAAGATGAAAGTCAGTTGACTTTTTTAACAACATATTGATTGATAGATGGTCTGACGAATGAACAGTATTATCTCTTACAACTTTACTAATAAGAGACTTAACCAATTGAAATGATGTTGATGCACTATGTAATATGTCTGTAGACTAAATTATAATTTATCTTATTCATAACTTTTGATCATCATAGTCCAAATGAAACATGTAGTATGTATTAATATGATGTATTAGTATAATCCCTATACATATGTTCATGATATATTATTAATCCCTCACACTTATGTATTTATCTTTAGCCTTTCACTACTAATATTAGAATGTTAGTATATAGTTGCTCTTTTTTATCTGAGATTTGTGTCTCTCAAAATCAAGTTGAGAACAAATTATAAATAAAGGTAAATTTATTATTACTATTTTTGCTTATGGGGTAATTTCTTTTTCTTTTTCTTTTTTGTTTGTGTGGTAAGGCCAATTTTGCCCCTTTTTTTTCGAAAAAAAAAAAGGTCAGGGTTGGGGTCGGAGGATAGAGTCAGAGGATCCCAAAGCTCAAATCCGAAAAATGATCTTGGCCGACCCGTACGAGTCGGGTATATTTTACTGCCTCCAAATGGAAACCATGTAAAATTAAGTACGCCCAGGCTCAATTAAATAAAATAAAAAGTTTAGGCCCAGGCCTGTTGCCCTTGGTTGAGCCCATTACAGCCCAAAATGAACAGCATTGCATTGTAGTCCATACATGATCTTTATTTTCTCATTATAAATGTCCTAAAAATTTTGTTGTATGCTTCATGCCAAACATACTTCCTCAAGCCCAACAACATTTAGCCAAAAATTTGTATATACCCCCCCCCCCCAAAAAAAAAAACAAAAAAAAAAACAAAAAATAAACTTCCGACTTTTGGGTAATTAAAATTTTTAATTCATTTAAATTATTCTTATTGCATAAATTATAAATAAAGATTACACAAAACACTCTGATATGAATTACTAAAATAAAAAATATTATAAGTAGCTCAAAAAAATTATATCAAATAAGACCATTATTTTAAACACAAATATGTAGATAGAAAAATATTAAAAAAAATAACCACAAAACTATATGGGATTATGAGAAACGTAATAAAACAATCATTGGTCTAATTAATCTACATTGAATAATACTTTAATAATTATTTAAACGATTTAAATCAAGTCCTATCCTCTGAGAGTGGCTCCACACTTTCCTTCTTGCCTCCGATGCTGGAGTCTTGATTCCGACCATATCGATTGCTTCATCTGAATTATTAAAAAAAAATAAATATTATAAAATTTTTAAGTTGTGCATAAGGTGCCCAAGAAGGGAATGGCTTCTGTCCAGTCCTTAATTGGACTGGACCGTGCTGTTAGGCTTGTGGAGGCTTACCACAGGTCCCGTTTTGATAATCTGAACTGTTCAATGTATAGAACTCGTCGAGTATTATATGCCTGTAAAAAATTACGTTGATCGGATATCGATAGCTATGTGATCAAAACAGATTTTTGTCAACCGTTAATTTATTCACCGTCTATTTTTTTTTAATACAAAATTGATTTGATCACATAACTATCGATATCTAATTAATGTGATTTTTTACAGACATATAGTGCTCGACGAGTTCTACACATTAACAGTTCAGATTATCAAAACGGAATCCGTGGTGGGTCTCCACTAGCCCAATAATACGATCCAATCCGATTAAGGACTGGACAAAAGCCATGCCCTAAGAAGAATTACCAAAACCTGCCTTGCTATCCCCTATTTACTTTTGAAATTGGAAAAATATAAATGATACCATCATGTGTTCTCAAGTGCAATTCAAGTTTCAAATTTCCGCTTGTTCTAAAAAATCTTTAAAAAAAATAAAAAAAAAATTCAAATTTCAAAGTTTTGTTCATTTATTTATTTTTTTGATCAACGACAACAGAATTTTATTGAAAAGGTCAAAAAAAAGAGGTGAGGATGAAGAATGTTCATTAGGGCTAATTAGTCAGATCAAAAAAAAAAAAAACAAAAACAAAAACAAAAATTGGGCTAATTAGTCCTTCATATAGTTGTCATTTGTCAATAGGCACACAGAATTGGGCCAGCCCAAAGTTTTTATCCCCTCTTTTTTTAATTTTGAATTTAAAAAAAATGAAAAAAACTTGGGAAAATTACATAGCAGGTAATTGTAAAAGGATAATTATAAATTAATGGTAAACTTGGTCAATTTTAATAATTAAAAACACAAGTTTTTTCATGTATTTATAATTATTTTTTTAAAATTACACTAAATTATAATATTCCTACAAAACTTTTACTTTGTTTTTTATTTCTCTCCCAAAATTAAGGGCATCATTTGGAATGTAAGTTGATTTTTTGACTTTTTTAGCCTGAGGTTAAAAAGTCTTGTTTGGGATAAATTTTTTGACTTTTTAAACTTTTATAAAAAAAAATGAAATAATTATTTATGATTTGAATATAATATTTTATCATATTTAATTAAAATAATCAAATTTATTTTATATGACTAAATTAGTCCAAATTGACGTGCCAAACGGGGCGTAAATCTGCTTATCACTCCCCTTTTATGTTGTCAGTTGTCAGTGCAAGCAGTGGCAGACAAAGAGGGAGACTGGCGAGGGCACCACCTCCGAAATTTCACAAAAATCTGGATTAACCCATGTAAATTTCAATATTTAAAAGAAAATTTAGCATTTTACCCTCTCCCAAAATATATAATATTTACTTTGGCCCTTCCATACTTCACAAAATCTCACTAATTTATGAAACGTTGATTACTTATAAAAAAAAACTAAGGTTGTGTTTGGTAGAGTTTTAAAATTATGATTTAAAAATAAAGTTGTATTTTGAGTTGCTAAGTTTTAAGATTATGATTTGAAAAGAAAAAATTTATTTGGTTATGAGTTTTGAAAAGATTTATGAATTGAGTTTTGAATTTTTGATGTGACATATGAAATGAGAAAAAATTATTTGGTTATGAGTTTTTTAGAACTTAATTCAAAAAGTTATAACTCACAACCAAACACACAACTCAAAACTCTATTAAAAATTCTATTCAAAATTCATAACCAAACTCTTTTTAAAATTCAATTCAAAAAAAATAATTTGTCATTTTGGTCTAAATAAATAATTTCTATATTTAAAAAAATCAAAAACAAATATAATTTTTTTTTTTTATAAATAATAGGTGGCGATTGGCAATTGCAAAAAAAAAAAAAAATGTACTGTTTCACTCAACTGGCTGGAGGGTGTCCGGGCGGACGACTGGGTAGACCAAAAATTAAAAATTTTTCTATTTTATCAAACATGTTTTCAAAATGTGCTTTGAAAACTCTTACCAAACATAGCACTAGAATGTAAAAGTAAAATTAATTTTAGAAAGTCTTACCAAACATAGCCTAACATTTTGAGTCTAAAAAATCTATTTAAATCTAAGTTTGGCACTTCGAAAATTAAACAATTTTACCCTATTTGCATGTAAAACAAC